TTTCTATTTTGCGATAAGCATGTTTTCTTGGATCGAAGGAAAGCAACAAAAGTAAAATGAAAGTAATGTATCAATGCAAATTGCTATACCTAACTGTGTTTCTAGACAATAGAATAATCTGTGGATGAACGAAAATACTCTTCTATCAATGTAAAACTATTAACTGTATTTTGTTGTTGTGACCAATATTCAAATTTGTAATTGCTTACTGAATTTTTGTTAAGAGCACATTGCGAAACACTTTAATTGATCGAGAACAAAATGAAAGGGGAAAAGCCACAGAGCGGGAACATGTAAGGAATATAAAATAATAAGTGCAGTTTTTTAGATAAAGGTTTGTGTTTTATCTCACAGTCACACATCATTGCGACAACGGCAAAAATGCTGAAAATGTTAATTTAGATTTTTAGTCCGTAGTTATAAGTTATATTTTAATTTATTTACTATCAATTTAATTAGTTTTAGATTAGTTGCAAGTGACTCTTGTTGTTGAAAAATTACATCAGTAAATACTTAAATATGTCAATAAACTAATAAGGGGTAATAAAGTATCGTTTTTTTCCTCTGGGAGTATCATTTTGCTATGTGGGGAATACCATTGAATAGATAATATTTTATGATTTTTTCTGTTCATAGCGTAAATATGGAGTTGGAATGATGCGGGAGGATAAAAAATACACTTGGCTATCAACTAGATGCAATCTATCTAAAAAGCATCTCAAACATATCAAGTTGATTTGAAAACAAATTTAAAAAAAACATTACAACGTGTCCATTTCGGGCGTGCGTCAGTCTTCTACATTGCCACATGAGCTGTCTAGTATCTTGAGTTCTAGAAAAGATTGAGGTTGGTAGCTAAATCAACCGGAGTAATTTTTTGCTTTGGCAGTTGCCACTGATGACATTTTCAGATGGGTTAAACGTCATTGAGAAGAGTTAGGAAAATAGATAATTTTATTTTCTTCGTTCTCGGTGGTGACTCTTGCATATTTGGATATAGAAGCGGTACAAAAACAAGTAGCTATGGAAATAGCAAAGGTTCGAAAACTACACTTCTAACGTTTGAGAAACTACATGGACAGCCAGTAGAGATGATGGAATATGACTACAACCATTTTAGAAAGGAATCGGACTTCCACAATAAATGTTGTGGCGGAATGTTCTGGTGTATAAGGGACATCTGCGGCATCATATGTGCAATATTGACCTGGCTTCTAATATTATATGCAGAGTTTGTGGTCATATCAGTGATACTTTACCCTAACCCAAACCCTATCTACTGTGTGATCAATACGGTTATATTCCAAACATGTGCATTCTTAGCGTTTGCTTCACATCTTAAAACAATGTTCACCGATCCGGTAAGTATACTGTTGCCCAGACCCGAAGCATGCATATTGAATTCACGGGATATTTTAGGGTGCAGTACCGAAAGGCAATGCAACCAAGGAAATGTTGAAGCAAATGGGGCTCAGAGAGGGACAGATCATTTTTAAGTGTTCCAAATGTTGCAGTATTAAGCCCGACAGGGCGCATCATTGTTCGGTTTGTCAAAGGTAGAAATAACAGTAAAAACGCTGTGTATATAGTCAGGTCATCATTCTTCTTCTAGATGCATCAGGAAAATGGACCATCACTGCCCCTGGGTAAATAATTGCGTGGGAGAAAATAATCAAAAGTACTTCGTACTATTCACAGTAAGTCATTGATTCGAATCTTATTAGCCAAATATACCGGCTGCAGGTTGTCTTTATTGTTTCAGTTCTACATCTGTGTTATATCACTTCATTCCTTATTCTTAGCTATTAATCAATTTTTAATGTGCGTCAGACATGAATGGAGGGAGTGCACGAGCCACTCACCCCCAGTCACAATTGTTTTATTGTTATTTTTAATGTTTGAGGCTCTGTTGTTTGCAATATTCACTGCAGTCATGTTGGGTAAGTTTCTGTCTCTAAGTAAATTCTTTCTGGACGCCCTCGCCTTGCTTCAGGTACACAAGTGCAGGCGATTTGGAACGATGAGACTGGCATTGAACAGCTGAAAAAAGAGGAAGCCCGATGGGTGAAAAAATCACGTTGGAAGAGCATCCAAGCTGTATTCGGCCGGTTTTCCCTGCTGTGGTTTTCCCCTTTTGCCAGGCCAACGAAATACAAAAGTGAGATGGATTTCTATTCAGTTTAGAGCATCGGTACTTAATGAGGATGCTGGAATAACCTTTCAACATTAGAGCAAACGGCTGAACGCATGCCAGTAAATCAGTGCATTTGATTGTAACTTGTTGACTGACCATGTGACTATATGGAACAACTGCGACTGTGAACACTTTTTTAACCTTAAGTTATTTATTTGCGATGCTTGTGCAATAGCTGGTGGAATGTATATAGTTTTCGTGTTTTTATATTACGCAACCGATTTGTGATTGAGTAAATTGCTTGCACAATGTCTAAACGGAAACCTTTACGGGCATATCTTAAAACTGAGAAATAAAGCTATTAATATTAATTGTAACCTTTACTTGTACCTAACAGTTTTTAGAATTCATAACAACAGGGGTGTTGAGTCACTGGACAAAACGTTTAATGAATATGTGAACAACGCTGATATCAAGAGTGGAAAATAATTGAGCTTAATAACTGAAAAAATTCTCTACAGTCAGGAATTTATTATTTCCAGCATTTGTCTGAATTGCGCATCAGTTTGAGTCTGAGAATTGGCGATGTCTTTAAAAACGATCGGACTAAGCCTATCTGCGCTGGACATCAATGTTTGGCTCTCGACCGATCTCAATGCTTCGGGCAAAATTGTCTGCGTCTGGATGTTGCAAAACCCATTCAAATCGTCCAGTATATCATCGCAGGTTTGAGTGCATGTATGAGAATAATAGTCGGAATTGAATATTTCATTTTCAAACAGCAAGTCGGTTTGAGTTTCTGTGTTGCAATTGAAATAATTGGTGTCGACGAAGGTGCTAAGCGAGTCGGCCAACAAATCTGAAGTATCAGTGTGTGTGGATTCATGAGTGACTGGGGCAATCCCACCGAACACGGCCTCACTGGGCCAATGAGTTTGGGTGCTTGAGGTAATTTTTTCAATCTGTTCCTGGAGCGAAAATTCGCGATCATTCAAATCGAATGATGTGTTACAGGAGGTGTCTCTCGAGGCGACTCGTTCAGTTTGAGTGTTCATATGCTTGTAGTTACTGTTATCCTCGATAAGATGCTGTCGTCCAGTCAAAGAGTTTTCTATTGTTTGGGTCTGTTGGTGCGCTTGCGATATCAGCAGTTTGTCGATTTGAGTCACTTTAGACTGCATCGCGCAAGGCATCGGACTGTCCCTATCCGCAGTATTACTCTTATTGTGTGCATGTGTTAAGACGATTTCACTTTTAGTTTCTTCTGATTTTGGCCTTTCTTTGTATCCGATTTTGTTTAGCATTTTATGTCGCTTTCTTCTGCAGTGCGTTTTTAGAGTTTCATACGAACCATATGAAGCCTTACAGTCTAGACAGGCAAATGTTACATCACAATAGTTACTGTGACTCGTTAGCATCGACTGAGAAGGGAACGATTTTCGACATCGAACGCAACTGTACAATTTCGCCGTATGCATCTTTAAATAGTGCTGTCTTAGACGTTTCATATTAATGAAGTATTTGGAACGACTCCAGGGGCAGCCGCCCTCGGGGCAATAAAACCGTTTCTCGCTCGAGCTACTCTTCAGCTCCATAACTCTATGAGTCTTGGACAGATGTAAATTCAAATTTGACTCGCATTTAAAGGTCTGGGAGCAGTCTGCAATGGAACACACTAAATTGGTCTTCATCACACAATCATTTGCAGTGGGGTATATCTTTAAAGGAGCCGACATTGTTTACAGACAACCAGTCAATGTCCCGTATTTTCTGCGAACTAGAACTACTGCTGTATCAATTGGTTTTTCCTTTTTGCTCTTGTTATCTTGCCACAGTTTTCACATAAACATTGATAACAATGACACTTTTGAATAGTTCATACAGCATTTAAGTACTTGTTTAATATTTACTAATGACTTTCATAACCTCTACACTCTACCACAAAATATCCCCCTTTTAGGGGGTATGTTCTGTGCACTCTGCTCGTTTCTGTCTGCCACAGCAGCCACAGACACCATAGATAAAGACAGACGCTACTAAATACTACACTTTTGCCACCCAGTCGGCCCGAAAATCCCTATATCGCACTGAAATGAGGGCGCTCCATCACAGAATGCATGTCGGCACATTCGCCAATGAATCCAGACACTTTGAAAATGATATTTTATAGAAAAAAGCGCGTATTTGAATGCCCTGTCGGGCAGTATCAACTGCAGCTTTGTAGCTCTACATTCAAATCTCTATTCAACGAAGCCAAAACGAATTCTCTGGCTCGAATGGTTCTTGAGAAACTTCGAAAAAAGCAACGTCATGTTCAAGTGGATTTTGCAACTCAGAAAAAAAAACATGTACAAATGAGCGTTCTTGCTCATTTTGCCGCCGAGAAATGAGCAAAAACGGGACGGAAAACATGAAATTTTG